TCCATGATTGCGGCTGCTTCAACAATGGGAAACTCTGGTTTCTGCATTTCATCTAGGATGCTTTTAGCTACCCTCTTGGCGAACAATCTTGGGTAGAATGCTGCAAACCGAGAAATGGCTATTGTTTTGCCCTTGAATTGACATGATCCTGCCACGGGTTGATGGGAATGAGTCTTGTCACATGTGCGGCCATCCATTGTCTTCAATACTTCAATCGAAGTGGTTTGCAAACGAGTTCCCTTCTTCAGTGGGTCCTTACTATCGGGATGCTTTAATCCGAATTGGCATTGGTCGAACATGGCTGTCTTAGAAAATTGAATGATCTCCTTCACTTCAGGTTGAGACCACATGCTCGATGTGCCAGGATTCTCCATGGTGAAATGCCTTCCACCCTCTATCTGCAATTTGCAAATGAATGCACATAACTTCAAATGAGCTGAGTTTTTTTTTTGAGATGAAAGGGTTTATATAAGCATTGACATCATTGGTGGTTGATTAAAGGATGGCGCAGGCATTCTGCTTGGGGGCGTAGACGCCCCGTAGGCATTTTGGCACAATGATTTGTCGTAGGCACTTGTCGTAGGCAGCATTTTCAATCAGGGTTTTCATGCAGACACTTTGCAGATATAATTGTCTGTTTAGATTTCCTGTTGCTCTTGGCAACTACTTCACTTTTTCAATCCACTTTCAGAGACTAGTGACCTCAAACTCCTGAGATTTGTAGACCAATGGCCAAGCCAAGCCGCCCACCTTCATGTGGCGTGCGGGGATGTTGTGGCACCTTGAAAGAGAAGGAGGTGAATGGGGTCGATGTTTTGGTGTGTGATCTGGCTGCGCATCACAGAGCATGGCTTGTTTCTGATGCTGCTGGGCTGTCCTGGGAGTTTAGCACGAGGGGGCGTGCTTACTTGAAGGGCAAAGTCTTTGACAAGGCATCTTGGATGTGAGAAGCCTAATTTGTCCATGGGCTTTGTGCTCGGTTTGCTACAAACCACCTTTAGTTGGTTTTTGCTTCTCTCTCTCTCTCTCTCTCGCGGGCGCTCTGCACAGTGAGGTGGAAACTGGGGCTGCAGAGCAAGGGCAAAGGCAAGAGCCCATGTCCCACAAGCCTGCAGCGCCAACAGAACCAGAGCAAGCAGCGCCTTGGAGATTGAATTTCAATATTGTTTTACTGGACTTTCTTGCTTTCCCCTTCCTTTTGGAGGTTGCTGTCCCCAAGCTTTATGCCAGCTTGCAGGTGCCACCAGTGGAGAGCGCCAAGCCCAAGATGATCGAGGATAATGATGGAGAGATCTCTCAGCCTCGCAAAGGGGTTCTTTGCGCAGTGGAAGCAGAGACTGTTGCTGCTTGACAGATTCATAGTGCTTTTCATGTGCTTCAGGCTCATTAGCGGGATCGACCAGAAGTCTTTATGTAACTATCCTGGACCATCCCCTCTGTTTCTATTTGTTTTTGTTGGGCAAGCCAGTGAGGTTCCGAAAGTTGCGAATCCAGATGATTCGAAGTCTCCAGATAAGGTTGATGCCAAGCTGACAAACACTTCACCAAAGCGAAGTCTCTTGCAGCAAAAGCGTGACAAAGACGAAGGGAGCTCGAACCGAAAGAGGAAAGCTCCTGACAGTGCCGGGGAGCCATCGCAATCCATCACTCCAGAGAAGGCTTCGCACTCTACTTCAGAGGGGCTTTCAGATAGTACACCGGAAAAGGTGCCTGACAACAAGCGCAGGGCACACTGTGAAATTTGTGAAAAGCCACGGTCTTCTTTGCAGAGGGGCGCCGCTTGCCCAAGTTGCCTCCTTACGTTGAAGCGCACCGAAGGACATCAGAGCTTGAGCAAGCTCCGCGAAGACCCAAACAAATTGCAGCAGATCCGTGAAGAGTCGTTAGTGGCACAGGAAAGCGCCAGCAAAGAGAAAACTGAAGCAGATCCAGTGGCGAAACGTCTCGCCCGAGTGGAGGTGATGCTGCAGAAGTTGATGAATCACTTTAACATCGCCTAGGTCCTAGGTCGCATTTTCATTTGTTGACTGTAACAAGAACAGTCGCTGCTGGGGACAGCAATGCTTGGGACAACCTGAGTCTTGCAGAGTCAGGGGAGAGGAGGAAAAGGGTGCTTTGTCCACACACCCAACACAACAGCCTCTACAGGATTTTTTGCAGAGCCTACAAGAAAGTATGTAGATGTGAGAACCACCATAGAGCTTGTGTGAACCACCATAGATAGGCTAGAGATTTCTAGAGTCTGTTTTTCTACTTTTCATGTTTTTCTACTTTTCATGTCGTACCCGTACCGTAGGCACAGCGTAGGTTCTCCGTAAGAATCCCGTAGGCGAAAATGCTTCTTGTGACCACTGGCCCATGTGTTCTCAATTTGTACTTCTCAAGTAGATTTGAGGGAATTCTTTCCGTCCACAACTCGTAGCTATGTCGCAGACTTGGTCGGACTACACTGCTGCTTACAGGTCTCGTCTTGTAAAGTCTACCGCGGAGTCTGTCATGGCCAAAGCAAGCAATGAAGACGAAGTCGTTGCTTACCTCTCTGCTGTCGTCAAGCATATTGCGCGAAACTCAGAGCTTCCAGTAGTAGATCGCTTGCTTGAGGCTCTGCAACGGGAAGCGCCAGCAACACAGAGCATGCCGGAGTCTCAGTCAAGGCAGCTGTTGGAGAACCTTGGCCGCTTGAGGCAATCAGCGGGCAGTCATCACAGCCAGTTGCATCTACCACGCCTGTCTGGATCGGACTTGGATTTTGCTGTTGTTCACAGTGGCATTTCTTGGGATCTGTTGAACAGGTCTTCCTACAACATTGGCAAGACAATGTACAGATCAGTGTCAAAGGAAGAGGCCCCCAGTAGCTCCTCTAGAACGACTGCAACTGTAGGCCGCAAGTCCAAAATCAACGATGAGAAGGTCATCGCCTATGTTCGCACCACGCTCCATAAGTACAGCAACGACTCCAGCAAAGTTGTTGTCGTGAGACACCAAGGGGTCAAGCGATTAGTCTGTGCCAGGCTTTTGACAAAGAGATTAGGCCGCATATGGCAGGAAGAACCCGAATTGCGAAAGTTGGTGGGTATTTCAGCTTTGCGGAGAATTGTGCGAGTGCACTTTCCCTCCTACCGCAAACCAGGCCGCAAGACAGATGTATGTTCTCATTGCAGAACGTTCAAGCGGCATATCGTTCCTCGAGCAGAGAAAGAGTACAACAAACGACGTGCAGCCTTGGTTAGCATTGCGCCAAACTACTTTGATTCCTTTGACCAAGACAGCAACACAGTCCAACTGCTAGAGTCCGCCCGCACAGATGAGATCATTGTGCACGCATGGAAGTACATTACCTCTAAGAATTCTCAGAGCGCAACAGACGCTAGCCGGAAACAGTTGTCTGTAGGAACTCGCCTGGAACTCTTCGAAAGTGAAGCCAAGGCATGTCACAAGCTGAAGGGCCATTGTGAGCTCTTGGAAGCCTACTCCTGGCATCAGCAGTCAGCTGAGCGCCAGCGAGAGTTTTCCAAGGAATTGTTGCTCAACCTTCCCAACAATGAGGCCTATCTGCATTTCGACTTTAAGGAAAACGTGCGGTATCCGATGGCCAAAGAGGAGACGGGAGCAGAGTTTCATGCTCAAAACAAATTGAGCATTACAGTATTCGGATGCACCGTCTATGCTCCAGGGCGCCGGAACTTCAATTTTCTGCTTTTGTCTGAAGTGCTAGACCACGACAGCCAGATGGCCAAGTTGCTTTTGTCGCGAATCCTCGAGGTTGTGAGGGGCAAGCCTGAATATGAGTGGTCCAAGGTACGCCGTCTCCACCTTGTCTGCGATTGTGGGCCCCATTTCAGGAGCAGAGAGTCTTATGCTTTCTACTTGCACGATCTTCCAAAAGAGCTCAAAGTTCCAGAACCTTCCTTTGAAAGAAAGCTTGTCTTTCGTCTTCTGTAGTAACTCGTCGTCGTTTACCCGCTTCGCGTCATGCGCCCTGCAAGCCTGCAAGCCTGCAAGCTGAGGTGACAGTCCATTTCCAAGGAGAACAACATGGCAAAGGTCCAGTCGATCGCTTATTTGGATGGGGCTGCGCCTGGATTGAAGACTTTCTCCAACGACAACCCATCCATGGTCTCAAGGACTTGTTGCAGTGCTACCGGGCTGGAGCACAGGCCATGGTCAACAGCGACCCGGCAGGGCCCAAATTCCACATTGAATCCTTTGACCCTGGCGAGTTTCGACCTGACAGGCGGACATTCTTCCAGTGCGCAGGATTTCTCATCACGAGAACATATTGTCTGGAAATGGATTTCCAACCAGGTCGGGCCCATGGAATTCGATTGAAGAACAAGCAGTTTAGTGATTCAGCCGGTTCAGATTTATATGGATGGAATGTGGAGATGCGTAACCAAATTGATTTGGCTGATGACGAGCAGGACATTGAGGACAATACTGGCGAAGGTGACATGCCCCCTGATCCAAAAAGATGGCGAAGAGGCTTCTGGAAGAGTGAAAAGTCATGGGAAGGAACTGGGCCTCGACCTGGACAGATTAACGAGGTGGTTCGACGGCATGGAGCGCAGAAGGGTGCCCCTCCACCTGTACATAAACCTTTCCGCTCAGAGGTTGAGAAGTCCTTGTCTGCAGCGGCCCTTCGTCTTCAAACTGCTGCTGCCAAGAAACGCCGCCAATCTGCACGCCTAAGGCAGACTGCACAAGGTGGTAGCAGCAGCAGTGGTAGTTCAAATTCATCTTCAAGCTCCTCCTCATCCGAACGCTGAAAAGTTTGCTATCATGCTGTCTGCTTGTCTGCTTGCCCAAATCCCAAAAGTTCAAAACCAATTCCCCAATGGTAGCGTAGGTGAAACACACCACGTTGAAACGAAACCTCACGTTCGTAGGTTTCTCCGTAGGTAAAGGTAAGGTATCTGTGCGTCGTAGGCTCACACTGTGGAAACGTAGGCGAACCGTAGACTTTGCCGTAGGCATCCTTCAATGATAATAGCTTTAGTATTAAAAAAACCCTGCTCAAATGTTCTCTGGATTGCTCCTGTGCATGATCAATTCTATCGAAAGCTTGGGTGCTTCTCAAGGCATTGAATCTATTCCATGAACACCACGGCGCACATTCGGGAGCAACCCAAACATGCTTTGGACGTAGTCGAGTCACCATTCGAAGGAGCTCCAACTGTCCGGCAAAAATTGACAAATCTCCATGTTCTCTGGTAAATCTTTCAGCTTTCCCTCCTTGTTTCACAACTTCTTCGGCAAGTCGGCTGTTGGGTTGTGCATAAACTTCAAGAAGGTCAATTCTTGGTCCATGAAAGCTTTCTTTCAACTCATCCCGTAAGGCTCTCAACCATTTCACTTCAGTGGCATTAGAGACCTGGGTGGCTAGATTTATCAGAGACCCTGTTGGAGCTGTGCCTCCATTTGCCTTCGTACCTGAGCGTACTTGGCAAAATCTAGAATCGGCATGTTCAGCGAGTTCAGACGAGATAGACACCAGCCCACATAGGCCTCGTCGGTCTCGTAAGTGTCGCAGTATGAACGGCCTGTGTTCTTTTTGCCCCAGCTCACCAACTTGCGACCCCATGCGTTCATTGCATCTTGAGTCCAGGCGAGGTCTCGTCCGTTCGGTGCCTTGAATTCTCCCCTGCAACTCCTGCATGGGCCAGATTGCGAACGCGTGATGGAGTCTCTGCCAGATGCGATCGGGCTCCACTTGCTCCAGCCGGTGCGGCTTGGCTGGGCTTTCTGTGCACCGGAGACGTAGGGATCTGTGGAATGACCACTTGCCTGGTTGGGCTGTTGGATGATGTCATTTTGGCTCTCTCGTTCAACATCTGCATTTCGTCCTCCCAAATGTGGATCTCCCTCTCCTCGATGTCGATCCATTCTGTGACTCGATGGCCAGGAGAGGTGGATGTTTTGGCTGAAGGTCGAAGGTTCTTGGCGATTTCCTGTAACATGGTCTTCTGGCTTTGAACCTCCTGCATCAGGTTCTGGATCTGTTGTGCATGCTCGCTCGGAACCATCTGCTCTCCCTGTTCTTCCACCTGGGTTTGGACTTGATTCATCAGCAGTGTCAAGAGAATCTTGAGCAATTGCATCACCGCTTCGGCGGTGTCCTTGATCATGGTCATGACATCTTGCCTGGTTGGCATGGCTTTCACACTTGTCGGACGCGGAATGCCCTAAAGAGACTTTGATGCGACAAAAGCTGGAAGGCATGATTTCTTGCACAAATCGGCCAAACTGATCATGAGCAAACCTGTGTTTCCTTGCTTCAGTGGGATGGCACGATTGAGTGTTTGCAAGTAACAAGTACCTTTCTGAAGATCAAGCACTGCACCTAGCTTACGCATCGTTTGAATGGACAGCAAAAAAAGGAGTACACTTCGGCACAACTTCTATGATTATCCATATCTGCTGAGTATCACTATAAATGGGTATCCATATCTGCTTGAAACTATATTCAATCTGATTGTTTCCAAATCTGAACCCTATGCAACTGGATTTTTCCTTCACACGAGCACGAGTGGTCGAATCCAGCATTTGCATCATCTGGGGAAGATTCTCACTTCCAATGACGCTTCTGCTTGCACCAGTGTCAACTATTGCGAATCCTTTCGTATCAAAGGCCTCATGGCCTGCTTTACTGGTACAGCTCGGAAAAGTGCTGACTGGATTGGGCAGAATCTTGGGCTCGAAGTGATGCCTGGCAAAATGCACAGACTTTGACCTGTTTGAAAAAAACTGTTGCATCTTTATTCTTATCTTTCCTTCTGGATCGAGTGAATTACTGGCTGTTTGAATTCCTACGAATGCACATGCATGTTCATGTGTGGATGACCGGCAGGACATCTGGATACTCGAATGCTTTTCTTCAAATCGAACCTCCATCTGATCGTCCTCCATCAAGGTCTCAAAATACCACTTGATCAGTCTCTTCATCGGCTTCCTGGGTCACGATGTTCACCTGATCTTTGGGCTTGTTGGGGCACTCTGCTTTCCAATGACCCAATTCTCCACACCGTTTGCAGTGAGTGCGGGCAATACGCTGAAGGAGTTCATCCTTGCCCTTGGAACCCCCTTTGCGGAAGCCACGTCCTCCTGCACCATTGAAAGATGACTTGTATCCCTTTCCTGAACTCTTTTGGCCTGGAGGCCAGAATCCCCTGTTTCGCTTTCGTTCTGAAATTCGGGCTCTGGCTTCATGATACGAAATCAGGGCTGTATGAAGGTCAGGGACATCTTGAAATAGGTCCTCCAAGTCCCTTTCGAAGGTTTGGACAGCCAATGCATCAGCATCTCCCCAAGATGCTAGACTGTCGATGGCATCCTGTGTCAACTCTTCTTCTTCCTGTTGTAGGACATAGGCTTGTCCAGTACCTGAATCCCTTGGAGGCTCATTCTCCTCTGTCTCGATGAAGTTGGTCGGGTACACCTTCTTTTTCTCAACACTCCCTTGTCCGGTCAAAACGTTCGTGGACAATGACCTCATGGCTCCTTCAATTGCAGTCTTCTCCAAAACACCATTGGTGATTGTCAAAACTTTCTTCTTGTCCTCATGGTTCAAACTGCTCTGTTTGAGGAGAACGAAGGCCATGACTGACTTTAATGTCGTGTCGGGTCCAACCTCGTCGAAAGCCACCATCAGCCGATTGACATAGCTCTGAGTCGATTCATCGGCCTTTTGGATCGTCTTGTAAATGGCTCTCTCAAAAAGCTCAAACGTCTTCAATTCAGCACTTTCTTCCCAAGTCTGAAGGGCCGCAAGAAAGTGCTTCACACCATTTGCAGGATCTGTCAGCAGCGAAGGTGAAAGGGCCCTCACCTGGTGCCAAGCTGTTCCCTTGCACAACATTGCTAATCGAGGTGCAAGCATGGGTCGATCTTTCTTTGGGCAAATCCCGTCTAAGAATCGCACCTTTGCAATGTACTCTCTAGCATTGTCCGTCGATGGGTCGAAGGAGGGCAAAAGATTCCAGATTCCTGTTCCTCGGTCATCATTTGCGGAGCCAGTACCTTCCGTTGCCATGGCTTTCTCCTAACCTAGCTAAGGAGGCCACTGTAGGCTCCGCTACCAATGTGATTCCCGTCAGGGATATCACACTGGTAGCTCCTAGGATCTCCTAATCCTACCAAAGGATCTACCTAAAGGGAAAACCTAATCCCACCTACCGTCCGCGGCCGCGTGGTCTTTTCCGCCACCTATCCGAGTCCACTCGTGCTTGTCCTTGAGCCACCGTCGTGGCAAGTGTCATCGATTGTTTATCGACCATCATCGAACGTCCGCTGGTTCACTCGAAGGTCTGGTTCCGAAGCCGGTGCACATACAATTCACAATTATACGTGTATGTTCACACAGTAACATTAATATGATATATTAGTCGATATTATCTATAGTTGATTATGTGTCGATATAGTTATTCCCTTGTTGCGCGGAAGCGACATTTGTTTTCCGTACGTAGATGCCTATGGCCCCCCCAGCCCTTGTTGTTGCTGACGTTGTTGTTTGAACTTGAGACGGTAAACCCTTCGTTTCCCCGTGGGCCATCGGATGTGCATCTCTGGTAAAGTAGATCTCTGGTACACCATAAACTGGAGCCCTGACAACATACTTAGGCTGATCCCTAGAGCTTCACCTCCGGCAAGCTAAATAGTAGATGACATGTTTGGTAAACTAACTAGGTCTCTCGTAAAGTAGATCCCTTGCTAAAGTAGATCCGTGGCAAATTAGATCCCTAGTGAAAGAAAGGTTGAGTGAGGTCTCCACTAAGCCAGACATGTGGTAAGCTGGTAGATGCTGCTAAACTAGATCTTAGGTATATAACCAAATGGCAAGCTAGGTCACATTAAGCATTGAGCCAAAAGGTTCAATAATTACTTCATATTACTTCAGTGAGAATACATGATAGGGGCAGCGCAGAAAAGATTACTTCCCACAGTCCCTGAGCTGACAAATGCAGAGAGGCGTGCAAGCATAGTTTGTTAGATTTGGATTTAGAGCACTCGGCAGCCCAGCAAATATGTGTTTTTTGTGTATGTTGGTTTTGCAGAATACTTTTTCCGCTCAATCATGTTCTCTCCAGACTGGTGAGATTGCTGAAGCTTCCACCCGACTTCCACCGAAGAATTGGTTTTTACCGAAGGTTCCACAGGGTGATTCCACCGGATCTTCTCGGCGTTCCTGTGGCGTTCCGAATGTGGTACCCCCCGCATTTGGAGATGTTTCTTTCGAACAGTTCCAGGTCTTGACGGTTCGCAAGCGCAGTCCAGGTCTGGTTGCGTGGAAGAGCTCTTCGTGGCTTTGGAACGTTTTGCAAACGAGGACGACAGAGTGGCGGATTGAACTGGAGGTTCAGTTGTTGGTTAATTAGTTTGGTTCCGATCTAGTAGTGAGCATCAAATCAGGCACACCATGCAATCACCTTGGTGGGGATGATGGTACAAGGAGCTAGGCCTTTGTCCAGCCAATGTGTATATAATATATATGTATTGGCAGATAGGGGAGATTCCTTCATGAAAACAACACTGATCTCATGCAGCACAGATACTTGAGCGTGTTGGTGGAAGCATGCGACGTGCACGGCATGGCTCAGGCAGCACCAACCAGACAGGTCAGGTCCACTCGTTGTTTTCCTTGCAGCCCAGTGAGTCACCTGATTGGCCAGGAACATGCACGGTCATTTCTATTGAATGATGGGCAAGCCGAGCCTGATTGAAACAGACAAAGAACCCCTTAATTCCGTGTTTGTTCACAAAAAACTATCTCCTTTACTTTTTGTTTTTGGGCTCAGGGAATTCAAGTGCATCGCTCCTATTTTGTTCACATATGTGCAGACTTCACATTGCAGCGAAGACACGGAAACTGCGCCCAATACCTTTGTTGTTTGCGCTTCTGTGTTTGGCCTTCGCTTTGTAGACGAAACAAAGTGGGCAGCGGCTACTTCCAGACCACAACATCTTCCGTCTAGCAGGTGTTTGCCCGAGATGAGGTGCTGTTGTCAGACCCCCATGCCGACCTTTCATATGTTTGTGCGAGGATCCCGTTGCGCAAGCGCCCATTGTGGAGCTTCTGTGGAGCTTGAGCTTTGAAGAGATGGCAGTGGATCGTGTTGCAGAGCGCTCGAAAGCTTCGTTGATGTCTTTGGCTGGCATCATGCAAAGACATGAGGTGCAGGGTATGGCACGCCTGCAGGCAAGGTCGGACCCACGATCAGTGGGTTTAGAGAGATCCTGATTGAACAAACAGATATTCAACATGACTACAGGCATTGTAAGCGCTGTGTAGGAACTGCTGAACATCCATCTCAGATTCACACCCCTCAGTTTAGCCCTGAATGAGAAAAGAAAGATCATTCTCAAACTCTTCTTTGGCCGGGTGTATTGTGTGTTTGTTTGTACCTGTCGACAGTGCACCTGGCGAACCTGTGCACAAGGCCTGCGTGTGTGGCACGTTGGTCAACCTAGCCGTTCGCAAGCAGACTTGCATCGAGAGTCTTGCCATATGTTTTTCCCCAACCTGGTTTGTTGCCCATGGCCGGGCAGCACTCTAGTCACGCTATTTTTTCTCAGCTAGACCATAGGTCGACCTGCCTTCCGGCCATGGTAAGAAGGTCGAAGGTCTTCCCTGAAAGGCGGAACCGGTCGTCGCTCATGTTGAAAGAGTAGGCCGCTTGCACCGCTCTGGGTGGAGATTGAACAATTATTTGAAGGTGTTTGTTTTTACATCCGGGGTAGCTGCAGTGTACAGCGAGCTGCAACTAGATAGAACATGCGAATCTTTTGAAGCACATGTGGGACTGGCCGCTACAAGTAGAGTGGGTCAGTCGCCCTGGCAGGGCAGCATTCCCCTCAAAACTGTGGGGTGGCCGCTCTTATCGTGAGTCCAAACAATGTCAACTGGTTCCTTCCACTCACAACCAGTGATGCGTGGAACACCAAGTGCCTGACATGTCTCCCATATGGTGCACTTCATAGACAACATCCACCACCTTCAATACAGTTTGGATTGGTATATACTCCAACCCTCCCAACAGAAATCTGCTCTGTTTACAGTATTTGTTGTTTTCATCGAGTCGTTCAATGCTTGGTGGGTTTTGTCCCATTTCCTTTGGCCAATGGTGCTGGGATCCCTATGAGTCCAAGGATGGTGCACTGCGGCCTGATGGAGCAGATTTGCATTGCGTTGCTGGGAGAAAGATATTGAGGTGAAAGGCGTTTTGTCGTTTCCTTATCAACTTATTCTGGTTTGACTTGCGTTAGTTTCTGAAAGATGTGAAGGGCGCAGTGGAGCACTGGCCATTTCAGAAAAACAGATATGTCATACGCTTCCTTGCATAGTGCACAACTTATTATTAGTTATTCGTTTAAGATATATGTTTCATTGATTATGCAGGATTTAGAAGCCCTATATATGTCCTATCTACCAAGCAGAATGGTGACTGTACACCATCATCAGGGTGTTTGACATTTTTTGTAACGGTCTTGTGTAATGGTTTATGAGGCTGGTTGGGAACTGCGCACAAAGTGCTCGCCAAACCTGGCTGAAATTGGAGGAACAGGCATGCGTTTGAACCTACGAGCCAGATGATGTGATTTGTTTGCAACGAACTCTTGTGTGCCGGCTCCCCGTCACTTGAAAAGATATATCTATACGATCTGGTTCTTCGAGATCTTCAAGATGATCCATTGAGGTTACTTTGTGCCCCTGTTTTTCATTTTTACAACCTGTTTGGGAGGTTAAATCCTTCGACCAAGGCTCCAGCAGCATGCAGACTGCCCAGAGTTGCAAGAGCTTGGCTGCCAAGCCTTGTAGCATGGATTTGAAACATGTTGAACCCACCTGACACCAGTGGTCGCCAGTGGTTGGAAGACGCCGGAAAGACCTGGGGACCCAACGACGATCTGAGCCGATCGAAAGGAGGGGGTTCCGACCTGGGCTTTTGGACCTCGATCCGACGATCCGAAGAGGTCGTTGGGCGCTTCGGAACGTTCGAGCCAGTATGGCGACTGCCCTCAGTTGGTCAATCTGTTTTTTTGTTTAAACTTTTACGCAGGGATTGACCAAGGCGATCGTTGGCGTGTCCAAATGGATTCTGTTCTGATGGAAGGGGGTCAATGTGTTGTGTCATCGGTGTCTCCAGACCTGGTGGATCTGTCGGACTGTCGGACCGTTGGATCATCAGGAGAGACGAATATCCACAGGCCGACGAAAGATCCATGACCAGTGATATTTCCGAGACAATCCACGTGTGGAATGTTTTGTGTGTGTTTGTTTAACATGTTTTTAAAACAAATTCAATCACATACTGTTTCCTGAGACCGTTCGGAGTAGTTTTTGATTACACCCATGGAGTGGCTCGGTGGATTGGATCGTCGTGTTTCCACCAAGAATTCTCCATGGTGATCCGCTTCAAGCCTCCAACCTAATAGCGTTTTTGCTACGAACGTAGCGTTCCTGTTCCTAGTAGTACGGCCAGGACGTTCGTAGCGTCCGATCGCTCCTAGTAGCGATGCCAGGAGTCTCTAGTAGCTTCTTGTTTCTGATAGCGTCTTTGCTCCTAGTAGTAATGCCAAATGACAGGTTTAGGGCTTCGGAAGTTCCTTACAGCACCTGTTGTGTGGCCTTGATAGCACAAGGGCCTCAGAGGAAGAAAACACAGCAAAGCTAAAGCCCACCAATCTACTTCGTGCCCTTTGAAACTTTGAAAGGCTACAGCCTTCAACCTGCTTCAGGACTCAAACCAATTCCCTTTTTTGCGTGTTCGCACTCGTCTCACGAGGTATATGGTGGCAAATCATCCCGAGCTACGGCCCTTTGTCCTTGCTGCAGGAGCCGTGCCAGCGGCAAAGGTGGGTCATGAGAAGTGGGGATCTTGGTTGCAGGAGATCTTGCTGCGCCCCACTTGCAAGGAGGAAAGACCACGAGGAGTTGCGACCCACTTCCCCCAATTGCGGCAGGCACTAAATGATTGTGGGAAGTTCCATCACAAGTTCCATTGTCCCCCATGTGGTTGGTGGATGCTCACTAACACTGTCAAATGACGTGTTTTGCTTTCTTACCAAGACAGAATGTCGATGTATATATAAAAATAATGCTGAGCAAGTCAGCCGCAGTCAGCCTGCCCACCCAGGTGCTAGGGTTGCAGGATGGAATGATGCAGTGAAACAGTATGCATGACGTTCCAGCCAACAGACACTGAAATGGCCACCGAGACCCTTTTAAGGCTGTGAGCCCCAATGCTTCATGATGCATGCATGCTACTTATTCGCAATGAGCGTTTGTTGTTGACTCTAAGCACTAAATGCCTTTCCAATCCTTTACAGTACAGCGGTTGTAGGTAGAAAGGGGTGGATTTTGGTCAAGCTGTGGCCGCTTCTGAACTACGGCTGGGATGCTTTTTTTGATTGCACAGATTGGACCATTCGTGTCCATGTTGAGCATCCGCTGCCCTTTGTCGGTGGAGCTTTTGTCGATATGTTTGCCCCATCGGGAGGCTGTACAGTGCCCTTGTGTAGGACTGCCCTTCAGGGTTGTGACAGGTTCGCACGGCTGTGACAGGCGTTCAAACGGGTGTGGTGGTCGTGAACGGTGGTCGAACTGTCTCCAAAGTGCAAAGAGGAAAACACATGAAATGTGTATAGTGAATGTTTGCCTAAAGAGGAAGCTCTACTGCTTGTCGCCTTGCCTAGAGGGTGTCTCCGAACCAGAAGTTGTAGCGCAACATAGGAAAATCTAATACAGTAGCATGCTTGACATTTGTAGAGAGGTGTTGCGCAGTCTGGTGAGCGTGTGGTCAGTGCAGTTAGTTGCTTCAAGCAAATCTACCAAGCGTAACAAACCCCCGCTCAAAACTTCCTTCCATTCCTCGGGGCCCAGACTCCCGTATTATAAGTCCCATAGAATCAGACATACATACATACATAAATAATATTAGTTAAATAGCTTGGAGTTCCCGCACATTCAAAGGTGCTTCTTGGAGGGCAGGGGGCTTCTTATGGTTGCTATAGAAACATCAGCTTGCGGGTCTAACATCGACTGATTCATCCCAACACAGGATAATTTGATCTCAGCAGACCACTCAGAACCGGCGCAGTCATCAAACGGTGATCCATTGGACTGATGATCAAAAAGTGCATCCCACGAAACATGATCAAATCAAATATATAGTTTGATTATTGGATGTTGTTTCTATCTAGTGGAACCTTGATGTGCACATGTACTTGCATTTGTGCTAAGCCCTTTTGTGTAAAGTTTGCTGGATGCTGTGTGTCCATGTGGGTTAGATGAAGGATACAAGGCAAGCTTTGGAGTATCAGTTCAACATCATATGAAGAATATATTTGAGTTTGTTTGATAAGATAGCATTTGTTGCCTTGCGTCCAGAACAATTTATAGGTTTATTGTCCAAATAAAGAACAGAACCAGCACTTCTTCAACATGCTGTGACCAACTGGCAAAAGGATTTGTTTGCAGGCTGAAGGGGACTGCTCAAGTGTAATTCTTAGGACGCTAAACATGCCTTCTTGTTGGGTTTCGGTCCCCCCCAAAGCTACAAGTTTCAACGTATATATTTTTTTGCGCGCATGGGCACACTCAATCCCTGATGGACTAGCGTGATCGAACACATACTTCCGCAGAAATGGTTCATTCGCTGTTGTAACATAAAAAGGGGCGACTTAGCGTAAACTGGGTGGCTTTTCTCAAATGATGCATTTCCATGCGTTTGGGCGACTTCCGCGAGCCCGGTTGACTTAGCACATGCGCTAGTACTATTGGACGTAGCTTTTTTCTTTTCAATATGCTGTCAAAGAGTCAAAGGAAGCCATGTGGGACCCGATGCATCAAAGCACCTGGACTTCTCCGATTAAGGCTTTGGCCACTACTGTAGGTCCAATTGTCTTCTATTGCTTGGTGCAAGAATATGGGCCAGCGTTCACGAACCTAGTAGCGTCCTTGCTCATAGTAGTAAGGCCAGGAGCCCCTAGTAGCGATGCCCTGTGCTCCTAGTTTCCGATATTGAACACAAGCCCAACGGTCAAGCACTGCTGACTTTAGGGTTTCTGTCTGGGTAAGCGCGGGATGCGGGATAGGCAGCACGCTTTCATGCAAAAGTGTAGCCTTCTTGATTTGGAAACTATAAACATCACAGCCTCCCTCTTCACAACACGTTCAACACATTGTTTTGTTTTGCCAGGGAGTCACTGGCACCATGTCGGGTTCCCTAGCTGCTGTGG